TATAATAAATGACAATTAAATGCAAATTATTGTGTTTTGCACTTAAACTTAAGTGTAGAACAGAAGTCAAGAAATCACTAATTATTGGCGGTTTGACCTCTTTTGATGAAAGTTTCACAAAATTTTAGTTTTGGTTTTAGTTTTGGCAAAACTTTCATTAAAAGAGGTCACAAATCATCAAAAAATAAATACAAATTTATATCTATTTATGAGTGAAGAGCACACAAACCATCGAATAATTTACACCACTTTTACAACTGATTTCAATTAAATTTATATTTAGAAATAAATCCTTTCCTTAATACTCGAAAAGTATATAAATAAAAAAAATACTTATTTTAAGCATTAAATGTAATGAACTGTGCCGCAAGGGAAAGGCATGAAAGAGGGTGAGTGGCAGTGAATGAAACTGAGAAATTGTGGTCATGTATGTCCAGTTGAGGTCGATATAGTGGGCAAAGTGTGAACACTGTTCACAATATTCAAATAATGTTTGTATCGCTAATAGAAAGGTTAGTGGGTTTTGAGGTTAGTTTAACAGTAAGTCTTTTACAGGAAGTTTAGTGAACACAAGTGTCAGTGTAACTGAACCAGAGATGACTTACCCGTAACTATTGTATACCAATTGGGGTACGAGTTGGCCGGGAAGATGGGCTGCACATACTTAGCCCGCACACCGTTTTGGGCCATCCGGGCAAAGCCGGTCAAGTTTGTATCATTCACGTAGTCATAGCGGATACCGTCCGCCAGTATTAGTATAGTTTTCGGTCTCCTCTTCGAAAGACTTTTGTCGCTAAAAACTATTAATATGTTTGCCGTCAAAAGTAAAAGCTTTAGAAACAGTTTCAATGAAAACATTTTATGTACGAAACGCTCCAATATTTGCCCGATTTTTATAGAACTAAATAAATAAATTAATGCCAAAAAGTTTGCAAAAATTCTAATTCAGCCCCGAATGAGACGATATATGTCAGACACGCCTCGGGGAAGGACTCACTAGCACTCCATACGCTTGTGAACGCCACACAATTGGGATTTACTTATCCGCTTAATAATATGCTTCATGAGACTTTCCAATACATTTAATCTCAAGTCATTACCATTCAAACCAATTAACTCCAGGAATCAAATTATAGTCAAATTAATAAACTAAAAACTCATAAAAACAAAACTTTTTTCTTAAAACTCATGCTTTACTCAATTATCGGTCTATTATGACCACTACCTGTGGCCTCCAACACACACTTTAATTGAAACATTTCATTCAAATTTCAATGATTTCCTTTTTATTGTATTACATGTTTACCGGTAATCATAATAACAGTGTTTTATAATAAATTACTAAAAATGACATAATTTTGTAGTTATTTAAATGCGAGAAATATTAGAATTGCTAAAAATGTAAAAATATTTTTATGTATTAAAACTATTAACTGCTGAGTAATATATCATTAAATTTGTTGATTTATTCAATAAAAACAATCAATTCTTAGCGGACGAGTCCTTCAGAGAAACAGTTCGGTTGAAAACAAGTCTTCCGAGTCTGGAGTCGGGGTCGACGCTAAAGAAGCCGACCCTTTCAAACTGAAACTTATCGTAGGGTTTGGCGTATTTGACAGACGTGTCCACAAATGCCTCTTTAATGATAGTCAGAGCGTCTCGATTGCAGTCCGAGAGGAAACCATTGGGCACTTCGTTAGGGTCTTCGGGATTCTTGTGGTTAAATAAACGCTCGTAGAGACGGACTTCGCATACGATCGGAGTGGACACCCATTGGATGAATGATTTGGGTTTCTCCACATCAGACACCTTATGGCAAATGGCTTCTAAACTCTCTATTTTATTATCGCTAGTCTTCACAACTTTGGTCACTTCAATCACATATCCCGAGTGCTTAAGACCTACCCTTTGCTTCGGAGACAGTCTCTTGAAATTCTTATCATTAGTCTCTTCCACAAAATCCGAGCGATCGATGAATAACTCCCTTTCGAATGGAATCAAATGCGAAGACTTATTGTTTGGGTCCGAAGGAAAGTCTGCAACCTCTAGATATATGGGAACTAATGGTGTCTCCGATGGAAAGTTAGTTATTCGTACTTTTAATGGATTTAATACAGCCATAGCTCGGGGCGCGGTTAAGTTGAGATTATCTCTAACAATGGTGTCTAACATGATTGGGTCGACAACAGTGAGAGCACCCGTTAATCCCATTTTAGTAACAAATGAATTGATGGCTTCGGGAGGAAAGCCTCGACGTCTTAAAGCTGTTAGAGTGAAGAGTCGGGGATCGTCCCAATCGGACACAATCTTCTCGTCAATCAATTTTGCGATTTTTCTCTTCGAGACGACCGTATAGTTGATGTTTAGGCGCCCGTATTCCCACTGCACGGGACAGTAGGTGTCGACCGCATTGCAGAGCCAATAGTAAGACGAACGGCGCGATTGAAACTCTTTGGTACACAAGGAATGTGTGATGTTTTCAATGGAATCGCATAAACAATGAGTGAAATCATAAGTCGGATAAATACACCACTTATTGCCTGTGCGGTGGTGTTCAGTGTATCTGATCCTATAGGCCACCGGATCCTGTTTGCCCTCCTCGAGGGTCACTTTCATGCGAAGAGTGGCCTCTCCCTCAGCCATCTTCCCTTTCCTCATGTCTTCAAACAGTTTGAGACTTTCTTCGACGGGTCGTGACCTCCACGGAGACGGCGGAGGATTAAAGCCTTTCAGTTCTTCCGATTTCTGATGACACACATAAGCCATGTCTTTCGAGATCAGATGAACCGCCCATTCATACAACTGATCGAAATAATCGGAGGAATGTGTGATCTTAAAGGGCTTATATCCCAACCACTCGACCATCTCTTTGATCTCCCGAACAAACCTCTCTTCTTCTTTCTCTGGATTCGTATCGTCGTATCGGAGATAACAGAAGCCATTGTGCGCCTCCGCGTACCCGAAGTTCACATTAACGGCCTTCGCGTGACCGATATGTAAGATACCATTGGGTTCGGGAGGGAAACGGGTCATTACTTTACCGCCCGTTTGCTTCAAATGTTTCGCAATCAACTCCATAGTCTTATCGGTGATTACATATCCGTCTGTTTTGAAGTTTTCTCCCACTTTATGGAAGTGAGCCTTACTTTTAAGTAATTCAATGAAATTCAAACTGTTTTCTCCGGAATCTACTGAATCTCCATTTGCCTGAGTCTTCGTGTCGTTCACCGCTTTATTAACCTTTTCTTTGACAGGTTTTGCCATATCTTTGTCAGTCTTGGGGCCCAAGAGTTCGAGTACCTGTCGGTCGACCTCTGTTTTGATGGCCTTTCCGTCGGCAAACTTCATCTGTTTCTTCAATTGTGCCAAAAGTAATCCACAGTTAAATCGATACCGACTTTCGATTAAATCATTTTTATGAGTTTCTATAAGAGATTTGACGCTCTCTTTAATCTGTTTATCACTGACGACGACTCCAACTCCAGAACTGGTCTCGAAGGCCTTGATGTCGATATCGGTGGATGGGTTTGTCAGCAAGTAATCGATGGCTGCGCTTAACTTCACCTCCGAATCGATCTTCTCTTTAGCGATATATTCGACAAGAAGTGGTAAATGAGATCTGATTTGGGACTTAATGGTAGTCGCCGTTTGGTAGACAAGTTTGCCGATCGATTTGTTCAGACCATTGCCGGTCTTCACGTGTTTGTTGGTCTCGACAATCAATTCGTTCAGTGTTTTGCTTAAGACATCATTCTTGAGCGTCTCTTTGGCTTTGGATTCACTCAACCCGATGGACACGAACTGTTGGATCAGCTCTTCGCTCATTTCGACGGCCGGTTCAGTCAATTACCCAAACGCTACAAGTGATTGTCAAATGAGTGTCAATACATAGAAATCAATTGAAATCATGTGTGAAATGACTTACAATTCAAATGTTGGCCACAATATGGAAATTATGAGATAATCAATCACTTGAAAAGTTTGGTCACAAAAACAAACTTTCAATGTAGTTGTGATCGTAAAGACTAACGTTATATCAAATACTCGTCAAGTGGTTATCGATATAAAGCATAATATAATTGAATAAATGATTAAATAAATAGCTATTTAACTAAAAACACGTAAATTCAGTGTTGACTGAGAAATGTGAACACATGTGGACTTCACGTCATACTGAATGTGATTCAATAGTATTGCGAATTAACGCATCGTCTCATCACTGGTTGTGCTGTGCTTTACGCGATTCAGTCAATGCATTCACTGCCTGTTTGGCACACTATTGCATGCATTCAACAATTATGTCATACATTCACTACACATATGACTCCCCATTTGTTTACGAGTGGTGCTCACCGTTTGCTCGTAATTCATATGAAATGAATGCTTGTTTGGTTGCTGTCTATATTACTTGTCATACTATATGAATGAATGTGCCATATATTACTGAAACATTGAAAAGTGTATCAGAGAGATATTAGGTTAGGTTTGGTTAGGTTTGTGTGAAATCCTATTGAAAAATGAATGAGAAATATGTGTATTGAATTGCATGAGACAGACACCCGGATGAAACAATACGTCAAAATTTACGATCATTTCCATTGAAATTCATTTGATATGTATTTGATTTCGTCAATGATTTTGCAAACTTCATGATGAGTTTGTGTGAAAGTGAATGCAATGACTCGGATTGAGTTCACATGCATTGCATTGAAGTCACAGAATATTCTGTTTAGGAAGTAGTTTCGGAAACAATATATTTGAAAGCTATTTATTTATTTATAAAATAATACAAACAAACAAAGCGTTTACTAGTATTTGAAACAAGTAATGACATAACAGTGAAATACTATTAATTGATTAAATAGGCTAATAAAATTCACAGTAATATAAACTAGAATTTCTCACAATTTTTACACACTAGTCATTTGAATTTTTGATTATGGTACAAAGTAGTTTATATTAATGTGAATTTTAGAAATAAAATTAATTTCTAGAAATTAACAGAGATTTTGTGTGAATAAAAAAATTAAATTAATATTATTATAAACTATTTGATCGCAAATTAAAATTTAAAATTTAATCTAAACATTAGTTTAAATGTGTTTTGCGATAAAATAGCTTATAGTAACATGAAGTTTATAAACAAATTTTTTGAAATTAACAAGATGGTTTATCAAGCAATGTTTCAATGGAATAAAATCAAAATCAATACAAATGTTTTAAAATAAATAATGAAACGAATGAATCGATTGAAACAAATTTATTTAATGAATGAAACAGAATAAAGAGATCAATAAAATTGTTAAACTTTTTAAAATATGGCAAATCTTTTAATATATTATAAACTTAATTCAAGCGATTGGCTGACTAGTAGTCGATTGGGATCTGGTTTTTAGATAACATATATTTTATATAATTTTATATTTTGTTTATATATAATATATTATAATATAAATATTGTGTATTTCATTTATACTTAATCTCAAAACTCGATATCTTAATGGATATATTTTTCATGAACAAATTAGAAATGAATATTAAGTATAAATTTGTTTGATTTAGAGATGAAATTGACAAAAAACTTCTTAAGAATACAACAACACTTAGAGATTATAACTATAATAATCAATAAAACATAATTCAAACAAATGGATTATAAACAATAAATTCTAATAAATAATGATTACAACAAATATTATAAACATCAAAATGTGGTGTTAATAAAAATTTCAATATTGATTAAACATTAAGGTCCTATAAAGTAGATTCATTAATAGTAATATCATTAGTTGTAATGCACTTAATATAACAAACAATTAAACCGGTATTAAAAGCAATAATAGTAATCAAGCAAAAACAATATATGGAAAGTAAATAATTGCAAATTCAAATCAATCCATTGGTGGCAATTGATGGCATGACTGGTGGTATTTATTGCATATGTGAGGCCTTACGTCCCCTTTCTGTTCATCACATAAAATGAAAAACATTTAAAATAAATTTAATTAAAATGAGAATAGAGTGGACTCACCGATGAGACCAGATTTTCCAAGAATGGTAAGAGTTTAAGTAATTCTGAATCAGATTTGTCGACAAACCAGCTCTCGATTGGAATCCCGTTCTCCAACTTAAATACAATAGATATTTGTTTTAATAACAATCAATTCACTCATCAATTAATGAATATATAATATTACTTGATATCCAAAAGCCTGCGGAGAGTTATCGATAATAATAGTTTTGGACAAATCTCTGCCCAAAATGTTGAGATCTTTGATGTAATTACCGTCAATTCACTCATCAATTAATGAATATATAATATTACTTGATATCCAAAAGCCTGCGGAGAGTTATCGATAATAATAGTTTTGGACAAATCTCTGCCCAAAATGTTGAGATCTTTGATGTAATTACCGCTAACGCAGACACAGTGTTCCCGAAAGAGTCGAAACCTTGAGATTTCAGACACAATATTGAATACAATGTCAACTAAACAACAGTTTCAACACTTACTTAACGAGTTTGCGGTTGGGATCCAAGAGATTGAGTAGTTTGTCGGCGTAGACCTTCTTTGAAGCGGTGAACAAAATAACTTCAAACAGCTGTGAGACTCGCTCTAAGAAGTCCCTGAAGTAGGGTCGGGTGCGCACATAGATCTTGTACTCATTGTCTTGAAAGTTGACGGGGAAAGTGAAGGTGGCGTCAGACAACTCAGTCAGCGAGCAGTGGACTAATGTCTCGTCCAAATCCAAGACGAGTGTGAATTCAGGCGAACTCCTGGTCTGAAGGGGAAGTGCTGGACATCTGGACCGCATCTCTGGCGTTAATGGGGGCAGACTTCTGATGAAATAGTAAGGATCTAATGGTTCCCAGTCTGTGGTCTCTTCGTGTGGGTTATGATTATATGAATAAAATGATGAATCGTATGATTGGTTACAATGCATTTGTACTCTCTTTTCGCTATTAATGTCATTATTGTTATTATCATTCAGATTATGAATCAATTGATTATCAAATTTAGTCACATTTTCGCCATTAATGAAGCCATTAGTTTGTGTCAAACATTGAGAATCAATGGATTCATTGCAGTAAAAGTCAATGGGTTTGCTGTAGACGTTCGCTTCCTCGAAGGTATTGTCCTTCACTTCCTCTAAACACTTCAATTGATTTGTATTTGTTTTGCGAGAATTCGTCATCAGATCCGACACTTCATTGTCATTCATGTTATGGTTGTGTCCGAAGACAGGCATCGCATTCAACAATGAGTTCTTCACTTTAAACAACTTCTTCGACACTCTCTTCTTGCGCTTGAGTTGTGGCAACACATCCAGAGATTCACACAATTTGTTGAAATTCTTCTTAATTTTGTTGATTTTCGTAAATCTGTTGCTCTTCTTGTGAGCGAATCGTTTGCATTTCCTTCTGGTCTTCATTGGACTCAATGGTGTCTTATTTGTGCACTTCTTGTTGTCTTTCATGACAAACTGTTTCCTCTCATTGGACTCATTGGAGGCCTTCATATGAGTGAACCGATTGGTGGCCTCCAATCGCTTCTTCAGGTCAATGGCTTTGGAAGAATGTCTTGAATTGAGGCCAAATCGCGACGATTTCGACGACAACCGCGTTTTGACGGCCCGTCGGAGGGTAGGCCTGAGGGCCGGCATCTCATGGCTTCACTTAACGATTGAATTGTGGTTTAAATGATAGCAACAAATGATAACATAATCACTGATTGTATGGATATTAACAGTAATAGTGTTTATAGTGTAGAGTTGTGTCAATACATGGGATGCACTGGTTTTGCGCCAAATACTACTCAACACTATTGCCAATCAAATGTCACTCACTTTTGGCGCTATTTGTCATGAAATTGTCACTCAATTGTCACATCATTTCACTCATTATCACATCAATAGACCACGAGATCACTGTCACGACTGGCCATCCAATGCCTGTCCAAAGCGATTGCTGTCAACAAACCAATGGCTAAATGAAGGGACTGTCAGACAGTGAAGGGATGTATCGATCACTGGATTGTTGTCTAAAAATGGTTGAATCGCTTCAACACTTCATCCATCGCTTCACTCCATTCTCTGCGCACAGAGAGAGCCACCCGTCCCTCACACCCGTCCCTTACCACCAGTCCATCACTAAAGCCAAAGTCACACAAATCAAAAGCAATGGTCAGTTGCCCTGGATTTGGATAAATGTAAGAATTATAATACTAGAACTGACCTAGCTCAACATAAGTGTTTACATTAAAATGTATATTTGACTCATTTGTTGCATAATATGCATATCCATATATTATATGGAAGGTATGGGATTGGACAGGGATCTCATACATCTCACTATAGAAATGTTTTTTGAATTTGTATCTTAAGGATAAATACTCTACCACAATTTATCCAGAATTGGTTAATAAACTTTGAATAAAACAAATTTGTTCACATAAAATTGAATGAACCAGTGTATTTTTTATTAAATTGAGATTTCACCACTTTTTGTGCTCTAAGTTTTGCAACGAAACTGATTTTCCTATTTACAGGCATTAATATAAGTAATTAATTTTTATGATATAATTGAGAATATGTCCTGGACAAGGTATGAATAAGTATCTATAGGTATGGAAACTTTATACTGAAAGGTTTGGTGTTTACAAAAATGTTTGAAATATAAATTTCAATTAATTTAGATGTTATCTCTTAGATGTTTCTTATGGGACACATTTGAGGTGTTTTGTAACATAACTCTAAATTAAATGCGATATTTTATAAACATATTGATAATGCAGTACAAAGTATTTATTAATAATGTATAATATATTGATTTCTAGAGAAATAGAAAATAGAAAGTAAGAGGAATGGTATTAAATATCATTTGCAAGTTTACAAATATGTTAACAAGTTTGAGATATCGCTATAAACGAGTGGTTTCTATGGGCTTAATAAGCATCAGTTAAGCCCTTCCCTTAAAAACCAGACATTTATTAAGTCGAGAAGACGTAATCCATAAGAAAAAAGACTAAATTTGTTTCATTTCTTAAGTAAACTAATATCTAAGCCTTTATAGCATTTACGTTCAATAATAACATTAAATGTTTTGTAATTAAAAAAATTTCTAAATTACTTGCGATACTGTATTGTATGTTTGTATTGCAAAAGAAATAAGTAATGCAAACAGAAATGACATGTAATAAGAAAATATTCTGTCAGTAATATTGTGTTAATGCATGAAAAAAGCCGAGTTTACATTATTTAAGAGTTCAAAGAATTAAATATTTATTATAAAATGAATGATATTTCCAAATCTGACTTATTTTAAGATTATATTCATTCCCTTTTCATACCGTAATATACTATAAACCAAAACTCCGAGTCTTTTTTATATATAACACAAAAATGTTGAGAATTTATTTCCCAATTTCATGGTTTCTTAAATATTATCACATTATTTATGATTTCAATTTCATTTGATTCTTATTTCTATAACTTTAACGACACTATACTATACTCCGAGTTATATTAAGGCTCAGACAGACAGTCATTATTTCTGTGTTCAAGTTTGTGTAATTTCTTTAAAATAATGTGTTTTGCGATTCTTTGATCACTTCATAGGAGAGAGGAAATAATTTTCGCAAAATTTGTTTTTATAATCAACATAAACATCATATTATATTATATTTGAGTAAATTTATCTCAATTTATGTAAATTATGAAAATTTAAAGTACAGTATTATAAGTGTACACAACTTATGAACTGTTTATATGATATATGCGTTCAATATGTCTGATAGTTTTGATGGCTTTGAGTAGAAAATTTACAAAAATATAAGATTCAAATGGATTTGTGATGAAAATTACAATATAAAAATAAAATAAAGACAAGCGATTAGGAAATCAATAATATTATTATTAAAAGAATATATATTCAGTATATATTACTATTTTCTCATAATGTAATACAAGGAATGTCTGAAAAGTGAGTAGAAATTGAAATTCACTTCCAGTGAAAAGCATTACTAAAATCTTGAAAAATATTTGATGCGATTTATGTCACAATTGGACAAAGAATTGGATTTTTATCTCAAAAAATTCAAAATAAATCGAATTCTAAGACTTTTATAGCTATTTATACTTACATTACAATAGCCTTACTTTGACTTCAAATTATAATCGATTTTGAAATATTGATATACAATCAGTCAATCTATACTAAACTCGGCGCTATAATATTAGATAAATAATAGCAATAATAGCCAAATCCCACTAAATATCTCTTGACAAACAGTGTATTTTCGAAAAATACTCTCAACTTCTCATAAAAAATGAACTCAAATTCAAAATAAAGTAAATATGCGACAAAATTAAGTTGATTTTAAAAAAAATGTCAATCAGTGCGGGGATGAGGTTTGAAATACTGAAAAAAAGTAAATAATCTGATGTGAAGTATAGCATAAAAAACAATTGACACGAAATAAAGAGTTGTTTCGTGTTTGGACTCAAAAGTCTGATATTAAATAAATATGAATTTCGTTTAAATCTCGTTCTCGTTATATAATGGCTTTAATTAGGTTTTATGAGTCATAATGTATTGCTATAATATGTAAATTATTCAATATTTAACTGTTTTCTCCATTGTATGCAATGCACCAAACGATGGACAGACACGCAGTTTAATAATTCACTGCAAAGACTAACCGCACATCATATCACATACAGTACACTGCCATAAGTCTCATATAATATACCGATCAGTACTCCCGTAGTACAGAGACTACAGTTAATGCGGTAAACATATGAATATTGAATAAAATCTATTCAATCTATAAATTATTTAATTATAAAGTCTACGGTTGAGACAGATTGACAAAAGGCTTGAAAGAGTATGTGTCACATCAGCATAACAGCTATTGAACTGTCTGTTTGACAGTAACTTATACCTAAACTCTCTTATATTCTGTATATTCTGTACTGTTTGGCCAGATAACTCTCGGTTATCTAGAGTACAGTATAAGTGCTTCTTATATAATATATATTGTAATGCAATGAGTTATACTTGACTACACTCCTTTCGGTTATCTAAATAGGTATAAAATACATAATCATAATCATAATTACTAATATATCAATATATCGATAATTTCTTCTAATGTAATTTTGTGATATTTATAATAAAATGTTGTGTTAGTCTAGCATTTGTGTCGCAGAATATTCTCTCATATATTGAATGCTCTTTTGTTGACATAAGTTTACTTCAAATTTTTCATTCATTATTCGCTGGTTTTGTACCGATTTTATAATCTATTAAAGTAATGTTTATTTTGTACAAATAAAATACTAATAGAAATGTTTGATCAAAAGTCACATTAAAATATATGAATTCAAATGTTTGCATTGAATCTGACTCTCAAATCACATCATTTTAATTCCATACCCTCGCAGACACATATACACTATATACAGATATATGTCTTATATGTCTTATAAGACCACATGTAACATGAAATTTATAAGAATATGGTGTAAAAGTATGGAATATACGTCATGTCTCACCTCATGTTTCACGAAGTGAGCACGTGAGCTGAGATGAATCCTGCACTCTATTCACCAGAAATACAGATTATTTTTGCTTAAATTTTGAATATTTTTTGTGAGTGATTTCCGCGTCAATGAATTCATTGATATAAGAATTCATTGAATTTTGCACTCGACTCTACTTTCCTGCACTCTATTCACCAGAAATACAGATTATTTTTGCTTAAATTTTGAATATTTTTTGTGAGTGATTTCCGCGTCAATGAATTCATTGATATAAGAATTCATTGAATTTCACCCAAACTCGATGTGTCTTAAACTAGTCTTTTGCAGGAAAATTGAATTTCATTTTTAAATTACTAAATGACTTATTTGTAGCATTAAGTACAGATTCTGTATTAACAAAATTGGAGTGATATTTGATTTGACAAATTTATTCCCTACTATTTATAATCAAATTTGGACACTATTTTCATTCAACCAACACCTTTGCATTGCACTCATAAGGACAACTGTGTTGCAAATATTTTTTATAAATTATTATTAATTTCCATGTCACATAACACATAACTGTCTTTTAAGCTGTACAGTATAATTTACCTATCTATTTTTTGTTAAATAATTAATTAGTTTGTAAATACATATTATATGATAATTAAATGCTATAAATAAGTTTATAGAAAATAATTTTTAACTTGAATACAGTATTAAAAACAATATATTTTAAGATTAAATACTAGAGTAAAATAAAAACTTTGACAAATTAAATTTGAAAAGTATAATAGATCTTAATTATTAAGAGTTATTCCTGTTAGTTTTAAAA